GATGGATGCAGTCATGTAGGTATGTATTTATTAGCATTTCATTTGTATTATAAGACCTTAACATTATGTAAAAATGTGTTTACTTGATGAAAATTAAGTGTTTGAAACTAATTTAAATAATTTTTGCCTCGTTTTAAGCCTTTTTTTCCTTCCAATTTAAATTTATTACTGTATAAATGGATGTTAACCCAATAAATATGATAAATTAATCAATTATTAAGCTTATCTTTATAAATAAATGAATTGTATTTGTATTTCCACGTATTTTTATATTTTTTATGCGTTTCCAAATCGTTTCTATTTTTTAGCTAACCGAAACGGTACTTCGAACGATATTTCAATCCTTGGTTGCACTCACCTTACAACTATTTGTTCTAAACTTGAATTATATGATATATATACTCCAATTTGAAGGGGACTGTTGAGAATATTATTATTATTATTATTGTTATTATTTAATATAGTTGTAATAAGTATACCTCTCTAAGGGTATACTAATATTTTGTGTTTTATTAGGTAACTATAGATATAAGTTGAGAGTGAGAGGTAGAGTAAGTAGATTACTCTCTGCCTCTCTCATATTGTGTTTAGTTATTCCATTCTCTAAACTTAATAGTCATTATTTAACTTCACCCAAAATTGTAGCAACTTTTTGCTATCTAGGATGGATGCACATTTGGATGAAATCCCAGTAAATTAAACTGCTGTCTCAAAACCTTGTGGCAAGAACACTACCTAAAGTATGTTAAAAAAATTTAATTTGGTAGCCCAACTGACTTCCAGTGATATTTCTATCTTAATTGCCAAAAACATACTACTATGTCAAAGTATGTGTTTAAATGTGTTCAATTAGCATGAGATCCCAGGTCAAAAACAAAAAGCATGAGATCGCATTAGCGTCTGCTGCTCTGCTTGCATAGGGAATCATGTTCTCGAGCATAAGGAATTACTAATACTTCCAACTTTAAAAGCCTACATTTACCATAGTAGGCCCAGAATTTTCAGTTCTCCATAGTTCAGCAGATCTGATCAGTGATAAATATACAATTTTAGATAAGCATACTGACGCCAAAGGAACCACAACCCACAAACATATAGTGAATACAAAGGCCTAAAGACATCCTAATGTGAATCTCTAGTCATCTATAATATCCAGATAGGCAAAAAAGACAGACTTCAGAAATCCAATCCAAATCCAAAAATGGAAAAAATCAAGCATGATTTTCTTCAATCTCTGCCCTAATAACTCTACCTCGTCAGAAATTGTGCAATTCCTGTTATGAAAAATGGCTAACATTGCACCAAGTAGAGCTGCCATCCAAGCCTCCTCCATTCTGGGATTAACACTAGACCCCCAGATTACAATCTAAAACACAGACTTACGCATAACCCATTGCATCCTGAATATTTGGAGAATAGAGCCAAAACATCTAGGGCAACTTCACAATGCAGCAAGCAATGATTTAGTGTCTCTCAAGCCTTCTTACACAAGAAACACAAGTTTTGTTTTTGTAGCAAGCAAAACTTCTATTAAATACTAATTAAAGAGTACTAAATAGAGGGCAAGAAGTCCACCCAAAAGGAAAATCCAAAAAGAAAGAACAACAAAATCATTACATCCCAATAGAGCAAATGGAGAAGCTCCTCTAGTTACACATGCCGCCATCCAATCAAGAATAAAAGAAAAAACAGAACATCCTTGAACTCTTTCCCAGTGGACACCCAAAGGGAAGCCTAAAATTTTATTCTATCCCAAAGGAGTTCCTAATATTCTTCTTTCCCTTCGAAGATTATATCCTTTCCACCCACACCACCCAAAAGATTGTCATAACCACACATTCCTAAAATATGGATATTCTACTCCCCTTTGCAAATACACCATGATTTGTTTCAAGTAGTACCGCACATCTTATTGGAATTACCCAGCTCAAGTTGAATTCAATAAGGGCTCGATACCATAGTTTGTAATGCCACAGACAAAGTAAAACTAGATGATTCGCACCTTCACTACATCTTCTACTAATAATACACTATTGCGGGAAAAGCAAGACTTTGGCCTTCTCCTTAGTAGCAAATCAAAAGTATTAATCTCCCCTCAAACTCCAATCGAAGCAAAAAACTGCACCTTCATGGGCACTATAGCCTTACAAATCTTCTTATGGGGTTCAAGTTAGGAAAGTATTTATCTTCAACCAAAGCATAGAAATAGAATTTACAAGAAAAAACACTAGAAGAATCAAGAATCCCCCTTTCGTCCTCGACTCCTCGTCCCCTGGCACAAGGAAACTTGATCAAGTAAAGATAACAAAGAGGAGAGTTTTTCACCCACTTGGACCAATGATACACAATAAATACTTACAGTGGAGGCAGCTTGAGCCCAAACAACCTAAAAAAGTCAAGGAACGGACAAACCAAAAGAAGAATCACCCACTCAAACATCTTTCCAAAACCGACTTTGTCACCATTCCCTACTCCTAAACCCTGTGAAATAAATTTCCAAGGACACTGATATGAGCCCCTAATCACCACATTTGAGTCCCAACCATTGGGATGAAGTCCATACTTGCTTTTGATAACCTCATGCCACAAGGTTCCCTCCTCAAATGGAAATCACCATAACCATTTTTCTAGCAAGGCCATATTTCTCTTCACTAATTGCCCACAATCTAATCCCCCCTTGTCTTTTGATTTAGCCACCACCTCCCATCTTACAAGATGATCTTTTCTTCCCTATCCGCTCCCTCTCTACAAGAAATTTCTCATCCTCCTCTTAGTTCTTAGAGCTATCTTCTTTGGTATTTAAACATTGACAACTAGTAAATGAGATACTAACTAAGACTAATTGTACTAAAGTAAGTCTTCATCCTCTTGACAAACAAGCCCTTTTCCACCCCTCTAGTCTCATTTGAACCCTTTAGTCAACTGGATTCCAAAAAAACACCGATAAAGGATTCCCCCAACAGGAGCCCCAAGTACTTCAAGGGTCACTCACCAATCTCACAACCTACCCAACCTAAGAACTTAGCTAACTTCTCTCTCCAAGTATTAATCCTTACCCATACACTATTACCCATATTGACTTTCAACGCTAACATAACACTAAAAAGTATTGTGACCTTTACCAAATTCTTGAACCTCACCTCATCACCTAATGAAAAAAATAATTGCATCATCAACAAATTGTAAATGTGACACTCGTTCCTCCGCAACTGGTTATCAATTGTCCAAATAGCTTCCATGGTTGCCACCCACACAAAAGAAAAAAATGGCACTTTCATTTGCCAAGTCCTCTTTCAAGAAAAATCTAACCCATTGCACTCAATACAACTCCACAGCGAAGAATGTATTACTAAACAAACCATTCCTTGTAGCTTTCCATCACATAGAATCATTTATACGCCCACAAATATCAAGGCTACTGACTAAATCCCAAACATGATCCACCTATACCAAGCCAACTCTTGCACATCTATTAGCCCCCGTGATACCTCTTCCCCCCCCCCCCCCCAAGAAAAAAAAAACACACACAAATCAAAAGAAGCCAACTTAGTCTTCAATCAAAGAATCTTTGTTACAACTATACGTGTAAGGAGGGGTTCTCACGGTGGACTGCCTACACTAGTCATGACCCAAAATTAGACTCATTACCATTTTGGTCAGCCATGAATATGATATGACCTATTGGGTAGACCTTCATTCCACCACGCTTCCGCAGCCGACATCCACAATGGCCCACTTTATTTTAATGACCCAATAGTAGTCCTTTCTTTTTTAGCAATTTCATTCACCTATCAGTATTCAATGAGATAGTACTATACTCGCACATGATACCAAGTCATTTTAATTCAGCCTATAGATGTCCCTTATGTGACTTGACCATAGAAAGCTGTGGCCATACTACATTTGATTTCAGACTCAACGTGGTGGCCAACTCTGAAACCAATTGATATGAACTCATGGGTAGAACTTGCCTGTGAAAACCAGCTTGTAAGAGAAAGGTGTTTGGTTAGAACAATGCAACAAAAGTAGCAATAAGATAATTCCAATAATTCATTCAACACAACAATTTGTGCAAGAGTGCAAATAATCCAAAGCCATGGGAAGAAATATAAATTTACGTTCTATAAAAATGCCACAATTTAACTCCATTATCTATAGAAAGTGATGATACTCAAAATAACTTTCAAGTATGAGCTCAGGCACGGAAGTCAGACAAGTAGGTTAGAACAAGAGGTCAGGGAAGACTCGCAGAGCTCAGAGGATCAGAGCTAGAGCTCCTCCCAGACGTGATAACAACGGAAATGATAAGGAAACAGTTGGATGGGAATAGTTGGATGACAGCAGAACTCTTACAGGTGATAGAGAGTCATATTCGAGACACAAAATCTTTAAGCAACCAAGATCCTCTCATAAAATCAAGGAGAGTTCCTTGGATAAATAGCAAGGATCTCAGTGCAGATCCCGCAGAGTTAGAGACGGCCCTATAAATACTATGTATCACCCCCAATAGTGGGGGGAGAACCCTAGTAACATACACTGGGACTTGTAAACCTTTCAGATGATCAATAGAGAAAACAGGAGCAAGAGTCTCCATTGAAGAATGGATTAACCGAGTTCCCGAGCTGGTGAACAACTATATTTTTATTGTGTCAATTCCCCTATTTCCCCTCAATACCAATCCTTGTTCTTTTGAACCTCGTAGCTCAGATCCTAATAGTCGCACATTATTCATCTCACCTGCTCAATATCACAAAGTTGTCTCACGTTGATTTACACCATCAGAAAGAATGCAACTTATCCATACACTAGCGAAGAAATTTAAAAGAGCATGCAAAAAAGGGAAATCATAGTTATCAAAAAAAAAAAATAAGGGCAAAATATAAGAATCTGCTATTATTGATTCAACTAAACAACAGAATTAAGAGAAGAATGTAATACAGTTATTAAAGACTGCTAGTTCGCAAAGAATGTGAGCAGACAGAACACAGATAAAAGAAAATTTAGGATTGCGCCCTTACGGGTACTTGAAGCCCGATTTCACGGATACTATCCATGAGGTCCTTCACTTTGTGCGGATCATTAGCCCTTGTTCGCATTAGTGGTCTTCGAATTTTGTCAAGGGGAAGTTCAAGAATCACTGGCCCACCTGATTGAAGTGCACTAGAAGGAGCCCCTACAAGCAATATAATTACATGAACCAAGATCACTTATCCAAAGAACAAGACAGAGCTCATAGTTAACAGAAAATCTTGAGAACCCGTAAAGGGTTTTGCTAAATTGAATTTATGAACCATTAAAAACACTATGCGGAAGTTGTATATTTGTGTGTATGCACAAAGAGAGAGAGAATTCAATCTAACAGAAAATCTTGAAAACCCGTACTGGGTTGTGCTACGTTGACCCTATAGCACCATTAACGACCTTGTCTAAGCTTTGTGTGGGGGGCTATGTACAAATATCTGCGTGAAAAGAGCTCAACTTCCACAAAAATCCTGACAACCCGTACTGAGTTTTGCTCTGTCGAATTTGTAGAAGCATTAACTACCTTGTCCATGTTGCGCGCACACACGGAGATATATATATATATATATATATAGAGAGAGAGAGAGAGAGAGAGAGAGAGAGAGAATACCGTTAGATGAAGCAAAAATAGAGAAGTTCCTGTAGTTGTTTGGAACCTGCAGAAGAAAACTCGCCATTTCTGCCCACGAGAGCATCCGAGTATCATCAGAATTTAATAGGTATAAAAAAAGGCAGGAAATGATCTGGTAGAGCTACAAACAATTTAATAAACTACGACCTAGTGATGATTTTTGTTTAGAAGGTATTTCGATTCCACTATGATTCTAATGGTTTGGAGTTTAATTTGAATGACTCGAATTTAAAGTTACTTGCATTTGATTTGACTGAAGTGTCATATTATTTGTTTCAAGTTTAATTGAAATTTTGATTCAATTTTGAATTGAAATTATGCAGTAATGAAGTCGTGGTTAAATTCATTTCTAAGATGTGGTGGTGATAATTTGAAAAAGAGTAATGTTACATGAACTTAAAAATTAGACTTAAAAAATAGACTTGATAATTTCAACTATTGAATAGATAGTGGGTCCCAATAAATACTGGGATCTACAGTAAAATCAATAGTTGAGATTATCAAGTCTAGTTTTTAAGTTTAGTTAATGTAAGAGTCATTTATTTTAGAATTGCCACTTTCTATTACTAATTAATAATATATTAATAAACAGGCAAGTAAATCTTGTACAAACATCACACGATACATTGTTTTATTTTATTTTCAATGGAACCGATAAAATTAATTGACATTGGTTGAATCAATTGACATAAAAATAAGATCACCTTAGCAAATAAGCAATATAATCTCTCGTATAACTAAATTTTATTATGCCATTGAAAAATGCAAAGATGTAGAGGGGGAGAGAGTAAATCTTTCTATTTGATAGCTAGAGGCGAAACTAAATTTTGATTAAAAGACAACTATAACATTTTCTACTTGAAAGCAGAAATGTCATAGCGCCAATATATCCCACACACGCACCCAAAGGTTATCCGATGTGGGATAACCTCAGTCCATCACAACCTAGGCCCAAAGGCCTCCCCAATCATAGTTGGGCCGGGGAGGGATGTAACTGAGCCTACATAGGACCCACCTTGGAATACACATGCTTTGTTTTGATTAGAAGACAACTACAACATTTTTACTTAAAAGCAGAAATGTCATAGCGCCTATATAACTCACACACATACCCAAAAGTTATTCGATGTAGGATAACCCCGGCGAAACTAAGTTATGAATAGTATATATATAGTGTTTGAATATATTATAGTTTGTCCTCTTACATCTAACAATTATTCTACTTTAACCATAGAGTATTGATTCAAACACACTGCACCGTTAACCATTTAAAATAGTTCAAAATTTAAAGATTTGTAACCAGATATACCTATGTATACAAAATAAAATAAAATCAAGATTAACATAATGCAAGGGTTAAAGTATAATTTAAGGACTTTAAGGGACATATCAAAAATAATATTCTAAGGGTATAATATATAATTTATAAAACTTTAGGGAGAGTACGTCTATCAAATCTCCCTCCATGTAAGATAACAATTATTCAGATGTATAAAAATGGAGTTCACCTTACATATTTAATATATGGATAATTTACAATGTACACCCTCAAAGTATACAAATAATTTTTATTTGGTCCCTAAAGTTTTAATTGATATAGTTGCATCCTTAAAGTTGTAGACGAGTTTCAATCCAATCATTTCATTCAAATCTAATTAATTTATGGGGCTTAGGGAGGCCGGTACCTACCTAAAAATTTAATAGGATATAAGTACACTTTTTAAAATTATTGGGATAGAAGTACACCTACTAAAAAAAGTCATAAATGCTCTTTTACTCCTATCATAAATAGTGCATACCTAATTGAATGTGAGATTTTCAAGACTAGAATGTGAGAATTTCAAGATTCCTTTTGATATTTGTGTATCATTTGAATTTTGAAATTCAAATAATACACAAATAGCAAAAAAAATCTTGAAATTCTCACATATATATATATATATATATATATATATATATATATATATATATAGTAACGTATATATTTGTCTACTTAAAGAGTTATACCTAAAGAGATACTCGAAAAATTGTCATGCAAATAGTGACACCAAAGAGAGACATGAAATAATGACAATGAGGGTCCAATCAATGACATCATGTAATGCCCCCTTGATAATGCCCAAGTAATGTCAGTAAAGAGTGACAACAATAAATTGACCATAAATTATGATAATATATATTTGTCCACTCAAAGAGTTGCACCTAAAGAGAGACTCAAAAAATTGTCATGTAAACAGTGTCAGCAAAGAGAGACACGAGATAATGACAATGGAGATCCAATCAATGACATCATATAATGTCCCCTTGATAGTGTCAAAGTAGTGTCAGTAAAGAGTGACAACAATAGATTGACCTTCAATGATGACAATATATATTTGCCTACTCAATGAATTACACCTAGAGAGGGATTTGAAAAATTGTCATGCAAATAGTGTCACCAAAGAGAGACACGAGATAATGATAATGGGGGGGTCCAATCAATGACATTATGTAATGCTCCCTTGATCGTGCCCAAGTAGTGTCAGTAAAGAGTGACAACAATAGATTGACTCTAAATGATGACAATATATATTTGTCCACTCAAAGAGTTGAACCTAAAGAAGAACTCGAAAAATTGTCATGCAAATAGTATCACCAAAGAGAGACACGAGATATTGACAATGTGGGTACAATCAATGACATTATGTAATGCCCCCTTAATAGTGCTCAAGTAGTGTCAGTAAAGAGTGATAACAATAGATTGATCATAAATAATGACAATTTATATTTGTCCACTCAAAGAGTTGCACCTAAAGAGGGACTCGAAAAATTATCATTTAAACAGTGTCAACAAAGAGAGACACGAGATAATGACAAATGGAGGTCCAATCAATGATATCATGTAATGCCCCCTTGATAGTTCAAGTAGTGTCAGTAAAGAGTGACAACTAAACTATTGTTTGATATTACTATTTTTTTGTTGAGCGTATTACTGTTTGATATTACTATATGTGTGTGCGTGTGTGTCTATATATATAGACGTGTGTATGTATATATATACGTGTGTGTGTGTGTGTGCGTGTATATATATATACATGAAATTTCAAAATTCAAATGATACACAAATATCAAAAAAAATCTTTAAAGTCTCACATTCTAATATTTAGATATTGGAAATATAAAAGTTATCAATTAGGTATGCACTATTTATGGTAGAGATAATTATGAAATACATTTTAGAAAGAATTTGAAAATGTGAATTTTTTGGCAACTATTTGATGAAAAAAATGACTTAAAGGAGGATAAGTTTGGAGGTGGTACTTAAAGCCAAATAAATTTTGAAAAAGGTACTTACATCTCATTTTCTCTTAATTTATTTTAATAAAAAGACGTCGTATGCTTTGCTCATAAGAGTATATTTGTCCAACAAAAAAATTGCTCTAAAGTACATTGATATTTATCTATTTTTCTCACAAATATGGCTCAAATTCTTAGTCTATATCTTTTTTTTGTTCGGATTTGTTATTTTTTTTTAATCAAAATTAGATGAAATAAAGTAAGGTTTTCTTATCCACACGTAACAGATTTTTTACCAGACATATATACCCTTTTACCCAAGTCATGTGTTGGTTTGACTATTTTCTCATAATAAAGTAGTTAATTTTCATGTAATGGTAAACTAAAACTCTAGTAATATGTTTGGTACGAGGGATAAAAAAATGGAAGGATAAAAAAACAAGAAGAATAAGTTTTTCATCCTTGATTGAAAAAAGGTATTTTTATATTCTTTATGCTTGATACGGGGGATGAAATAGTGGTAGAGATAGATTTTTTACTATTTTTTTGGTATGAAAAACAATAAAAAATAAATCATTGTTAATTAGAAAACATAAAGGCTCTTAAATAAATTATGAGCCCCAAGGGACTAAATTTTCAATAAATATTAATAAAAGTTGTGGACCTCATTATTGACACCTGTCAATCACTTTTTGCTATTTTCTCCGATATTTGGACTGATCCAATTTAGTGAGCGAGAATGATTCATTTTCCACCCTTTTTTATTTCCCTTCATCTTTCCTCCCTAATCAAGTAGAGGAAAGTTGCATTTTCTACCCTACTTTTCATCCATCATTTAACATCCATCCATCCATTTTTCACTCAGACCAAACAATTTGTAAGGATTAGATTGTTGCAACTGGAACTTTAGAGACCAAATAAAAATTAGGGGCACACTTTAGGGGTGTAAATTGTGGGGGAATCTACTACACTCATGTGAAGGATCTTTCCACTCAATTATACACGAGCAATCACACGTTACATCTAGAGGGGGGTGAATGGGTTTATCAAAATTTAATGTTTCAACAAACACCAACTTTAAACCTAACCCACCACAATTTCTAAATAAAATATTAATTGTTCAATTATCCTTTGAACCCCTTTAAACATGAAAAAACTATTAAGAGTGAGAATGTATGAATGAATACACAATCAACACTAACAAATCCACAATCACCAAAAACCACTATCAATAACTTGAAAGA